AGCAAAAAGTCATAAACAGCAGACACTTCATCAATCATTGATCGCAATGAAAGCGCGGATGGCTTTCGGATGGTTGGTAGCTCAAAAAGTTTAGATATTGTATTGAAAAATATCAAACATTTGTTATCATAGTCCTTTTTGAGGCTTGCCAACGCTTTCGGGTAATTTTCATCCGACATCTGAAACGCTTTAACTGTTCCCAGAGTCTCTCCAGATAGACAATTTACCAAATGGTTAAAACTTTTCTATATCTGGGATATTTGGATCATTATGAACCAAGCTCTCAAACAAACTTATGAAGTATTTAAATTCTGAATATTCTCTCTTGAATTTCGGCAAATTCATTTTAGGGAGCCTTGAGCTGTGAGAAGCTACGAAAGATGTTTCGGCAATTGACGTTCTATTTTTGGCTAAAATATTTTTAATTAYTGATTTCGTTTCAACAATTATGTCCTCTAACTCCCCTCGGGCCGCGTCATCTTCATCAATCTCTTCAATTTTAGATTGGCATTTCAATAACTTTTCACTGTGTGAATTTAATATGTCGAGCCGACATTCCAATTCAATTGGATCTAACGACATGGTTTTTTCGAGAAGGCCCGTTTTAATGCGCAAAATACTACTTTTCGCAACAGTTCTTTGACGTCTTAACGATTTTAAGTCCGTCAACTCCTTACTTGGAGACAGGCTTGCGAGAGTTGGCTTTGGCTTGTATATATATATATGTATAGCAAGGGTTATATTTATTTTATATATTTGTACACTAATTTCACTTAGCCGAGTCGAAAACCGTAAACCGAGATCCGAAAGGAATTAAAGACAGGTAATTGGTTCGAAAGAATTATTAATCCACTATTAATTGCTTTACACTTTTTAAGTGTATTTCAGTTTTAAATTTTTTAATTACGCACTTGTCCCTGCTCGGTCGCCATGAAAAATCTCAAGCGTTTTTGAGACACAAAAAAATAGTTAGGGATGCGCAATTGTTAAATAACTCCAATTACCTGTCGCGAAAGACTTATAATTTATTCCGGTCGGTAACGTAAAAGCGTGCGTTCGGTTCAACGGTTCACAAAGAAGAGAAGGTTTTATTTCATTTTATGCATTCGCTTAGCCTAAATCTTAAACTAACGGCTTAAACTAGTGGTAATATAAATATGTATTAAAAAACGGGTAAGTATAATAATTTCAACTTAAATATTGTAACAGATTGTGGTAATTATAAAGGTAAGTAATAGATGCATTATTAAGGTAGGTATTTTATAATAGATTTTCTTAATTTGATAATTCAATATTTTACAATTCTTATAATTCAATTTTATTGACTCTAGTTTTAGGTTTAAATATATGTATCTTGTCGTTTGACGCAACAATGACTGATCCTCCTTTTCTATGGGATTTAGTAGCCCCTCCTTCCTTCCAGCTTTGATGTCAGTCAAGATACATTCGATACAACTCCTTATCATCTTAGCTGCTTTTGAACCAAATAATGGAGTATAGAAACTCTTTTTCAATTCTTCTTGGGTCTTCTTTATCGAGAAGTGTCCCGGTTTGTGTGTCATTAATGAAGGTACAAATGGACCTTCATTGCCTTAAGGCAAATGTCTTTTAATAAAGGCTTCTTCATCTTCATGCGACGTCTGACCTCGCAAAATTTCGCTATTCAGCACACATCCTCTTCACAGCACTAATCGCACACAACCCACATACAACATACCCCAACATCACACCACCCAATGCAACACAACATATCATTCACCAAACAGAACCATAACCACATATCATATCAATAACTAGCCACGCTACACACCGACAATTCGTTTTTCCATCACCTACAACCGATAGAAAAGTATTAGTCAGATCGGAATGGGTCTCGTTTTCGATTTACTCGTCATCTCGGCTTCGGCTTCGATATTCGCTTGGTTGTGATGTTTGCAGCATAATCGAAACTAAAAGTGTTAAAATTCAGTAAATTTTGTTAGCAATACAATAAAAAAGACAAATTGTAAAAGGACTAATAAATAAAAATTAAAATATAATTATTTATTGTTTAAGGTGAAATATAATTATAACCTTATTTTCGAAAATATTGCATTTGTTCTTATATTCGACATTCGAAGGTGAAAGATGCAAGTGAGTATATTACCAACCTCTGCGATTGGTAGGCACCTTGTCGTGGTGCAGGGGCTTAAACCGCAGCACAGCACGGCATCTCCCAACCACCAGGGATGATGCTGCATAGCATCTCTCCTGAGGGCTGGCAGACGCTGCATGTGCGCGGCGACCAAGAGCTACCACCTCCTAATCCAGGATGCTATGCGATCCGTGCCCATTGGATGATTTGCAGCCAGGAGGTAAATTCGGCTGTATTCGCACGGAGCCTTCCCAACACCGGGCCGCCTTGGGAAGTAACGGTGGCCTTACTGCGTCAAGGGGCTCTGGCGCAGCGGACTTTAGATTTCCCCTTACTAAAACTAGACCGGGAGGCTCACATTAAGGGTCAAACGGTCGTAAGAAAAAGATGGATCAACAACAGCAACAAACAACAACGACCAAAGCAACGACATCGACAGCAACGACGGCTAACAGCGGCGGAAGCGCTAGTACGACGAGCAAGAGTGGCCCAGGAGCTAGACGAAAGTTCAGCTTCCTGGATGCCTTGTCGCCGGAAGAGCGAGCACTCTTTGAAGAGCACGCACGCGACGACGACGACGTGACCTCCTGCAGCGACACTCAGCGGAGCGGGTCGGCCGCGAACACAGCGAATCGCGCCGACGATGACGTGGCCTCCCGCAGTGGCACGCAGCGTAGTGTGGCAACCGTGACCACTTCAAATCGCGCGAACGCCGGCCCCACAACCCCCTCGAGCAGGATCGACTGCGGAGAGGAGGTTGGTTTCAGGAGAGTGGAATCAAGGGGTGAGCGTAACAGAAAACGACAACGAGGGAACATTCCATCTACCCCGGAGCCAGGACGACCAGGAGGTCACGACGACCCACGTAGAGCGGGAATGAGCGGAGCCACTCTCAAGTGGTACCTCAGATTCCTACAGGACG